CTTTTCTAACAACACCAACCATTCCTAAATACTCCAACTATCCTATTAAACATTCCGACACACCAAATTCACTAATCAATGTGCCACATTGTCTTAAAATCCTCAAATTATACTTAGAGTTCATCCAAACCCTTACCCAAAATTTTCAATCATCACAAAACTCATAAACTTATGGTTAAAAGCTTGATTTAACTCCCTAAGATCTTAAATAAACCAATAGGTTTGGTCTAAACCTAAGGGAATCGAAATCAAAGCCCCCAATACCATAAATGTTTAGATTTTTGCATAAAAGAGGGAGAAGAATGAATGTACAACTTATCCAAAGGTGATTTAAGCTCCAAATGCCCTTAAAGTAGCCTAGGGATTGTGCCCTAGTAGACCACAAGCTCTCCTCTGTCGCTCTCTTCTTATCTCTCTTTCTCTCTTCTATTTTCGATCTATTTTCGTGACTAATAAATGCTGATTCTACATGTGCACTGCGACGCGTCGACACGCTCGCTGCGGGGCATGGCATAAAAAGTCCCACATTATTTTAAACTTTCTTTTGTGCCATGGCCTGCTTGAACGTTGACCTAGCCCTCTTCTAAGGCTGTCCAAGGATCCAAAAACCATATTAGTTTCCCGTAACCCTCACTAAATCAACAATTTATCTAAATTGATCAAATTACCCTTGAAAACACTGATAATTACTAATGCAAAAACTTAGGATGTTACACATACCCCTAACTATTACCATGGATATCATGACAGTCATCACATGGCATGAGCTGCTTAGTACCCGAAAGGGTACAGCATTAGAGTATATGACACCCCCATTGCGTGTGTAATAAGGAAAATTATATTTTAAAAGTGGGATATAGAACAACTTTGGCTAGGTAGTTCTCCTATAGAAGGTGAGCTTGAATCAGTATACAATATTGGTCCAATGTATAGCCTATAGATTCAATTGGAGGTAGCTACAGAGGTTCGGTTAGATAGTATGGTCATGCATGGAATATTTATGATATAACTATATGTTTTATGCATTACCTTGTAAATATTAATGTTGCAATTACTTATTTATGGTTTTACTTTCTAATAGATAGTTTTGAATTATTTTGATTATTGGGACATATGTCTCACCTCATGGTTGCTATTTTACAAGTTCGACACTAATCAGAGCATAGGAACAGACTTGGGCTAGGAGTAGTAGATTCTACTACATTGCCCTATTGAGAATTGTGTAATGAAGTTATAATGTTGTATATGTTAATGTTTATAAGTTGTCATAAGAATACATATAAAATTTTGCATGCATTTGTATGATTGTGTATGTATCTTAGCCCTGAAATGTGAAATTATGTGAATTGTGATGATGAAGGCTGAGATTCCAGTATAAATACAAGTTTAAGTGTTTTGAAACGATTGAATTTGTGAAATTTGGTCAAGAAGATAAATTGATGTATATATGTGAAAAAGGTAAAGCTGGAATATGAGCAAGCCTGATCCATATGAGCCCGGCCCTTATAGACCTAGGGCAAAAACCAAATTTTCTTGAAATTGTCCCACTCTTAAGGCTCGGCCCTTATTTAAAGGGCTTAGGGCTAGAACCATAAGCCCATTTAAAAAATAAAATAAATTCTAAAATTTAAAATAAATCAAACAAAGTCATCATCTTCGAGAAAATAAATCTTTAAAAGTGCTCTCTTTAATAGTAGGACTAATTATAACAACTGGAAAATCCTCTCTTGCTTTATCAGTCATCATCTCTCCTATAGCCTTTGTGAACATAAGTATCTTGCCACCTATAGAGTCTGGCCATGTTTCAAACAATAATCTAATATCAAATAAGATCATGAAATTTGACACTACAAAGCTAAAGGATTTTGCATCCATTATATTGCTAGTGATAAATGGCCTTTCGGTGATTTTACCTTACCTTTCTTCATTAACATGTGCTACACAATACAAACAAGGAACTCAAAAATCAAAACCTGCCTTTGCCAAGAATTGATTCTAGGAACTTTTCACTTAGGTCATATATATTAATATATTTGATCTTTTTATTCTTTCTACCTATTGAAACATGTAGAAAGAGCTTAAGGTTCTTGCACTTTTTTACAAAGCCTATAAGGCAGCAGGGTCCTCTAGTGTTTATGTTGATAGTAGTGTCACATTTGATTTTTCAAACAACTCAAATTATTGCCAACTCTTATAGACTTAGAGGCTAAGCTTTCATTAGAAGTTGTATTAGCAACAAAATTTACAATTACATCTACTTTATCTGTAATAATATTAAATAAATCTTCCTTTAATCCAAGATCAGATTCATAGATATTGCCTACAATAGCAACTAGGACCAAAGACAGCCAAAATCATAAAAAAGAAAATTAGCATATCGAGAAAAAGGTATATCAAACTAGAAGATTCACTAGAATGAAATCATAGAAGTAACAGCAAACCGAGATAGATAGCCAATTGTATCATAATCAAAAATAAAATCACAACAAATTTAGTAACACCAATCCTGAAGTAACCACTAGAACAATAATCTAATAATTATAGAATTAGAAAGAGGCATAGCATGCGAGATAGTTAGATAGAGGTACTTGAAGGCGCGATCAATCTAGTTGAGACCCGAGGGTGACCAAGCATTGCAACAAAGGTGAGATCAAGAATCAGAGGATGAAAGAGAGCAATTGAGCCCCATGACGGTAGGACATGAAGTCAAGAATCAAAGATCAAGCGGCGAGGGCACCATAAAGCCAAGAATTAGAGTTGAGAGGCGAGATCACGAGGAGTGAGGAGTGATGAGAATCAGAGTCGACTGTTAAGACTCTAAGCATGATGAGTGTCAAGTGAGGAGGTTTAGGGTTTTCATTTTCTTCTTCAGGTATAAAGTTGTGCTTTTCAAATTGGGGTAGGCAAAAGAGATAAAGAAAATAGGCATAGAGAGCTACCTAGGCCCGAGCCCCTTTTTTTATGACTTATCAAGGCTGGGCTTCAAAGCCTGGTTTCTCTAAAATGCTAATTTTTTAAGCCTGAATCCTTATAAAAATGGCCCTAAATGGGTAGCCCTTCAAGCCTGGCCCTTATTCTCAATTCTAAAAAAGGCCCTCTAGTGATGTGAAAAGGACGTTTTAGTGGCCAAATTTGAATATGATTGTGTTATTGTTGGTATAATTGCTTAATTAGATTAGAAATGTCCTATTAGATGTAATCAAGGCCTTAATGGTGGCTAATGACATAATGGTTTGACTTATGACGCTCAAGTGAGAGAAAATGGCATAAATACTATTAGAAAAATGCAAATTAGTAAGGAAATTTAGCGAAGGGTCATCTATTTCTCTCTAAAATACCAAATTAGCAAGAAAAATAGCGAAGGATGTTGATTTCATAGCTCGATGGAAAATAACAAGGAATTGTTAATCTTTCTTTAAAATAAGAAAATTAGTGAAGAAAATAGCGAGGGACTGTCAATCCCTCTCTAAAATAATAGAATTAGCAAAGGATTCTATCCCTAGCTAAATACTACAAACAAAAAATTTAACTTTTGACAATGACTTTTAATTATATATTTAATTATTTTCATTTAAAAATTAACTAAAATATTCATAATAAAATTATTTAATATTTAATATTTTCTTTATCTTAAGTTGATTTTCATTAATGAAATAGGGATGACTGAAGAGTGAGCAAAAGCAAGGATGACTTGTGAGTTGCAATGGCTGGGACGGGGACGGCGATGTGATGCCTTGCTGAAGAGTAAAAAGAAGATAATTATATTGAAGAAAGAAGAGTAAATGTTGAACTGAATGAATCATTATCGTGAATTTAGATGATTTAAGGGATTTAGGGTTATATTTTTTTTGGAAAGTAGAAACCAAGGATTTCTGTATGAAATTTATATCAATCAAGGATCAATTGTTATCAAAACCTGAATGGAAAACAAGTTAGAATCAAATGTTATTAAAATCTGAATGAATACTTGTTGATAAAGACTAACCTGAATCCGTAAGTATCCACTCGATTTTTAACAACAAGTGATCCTTGACTAATATAAATTTTGATTAGTGATCTTTCATTGTTATTTTCCTTTTTTTTTTTTTGGCCTTCCCTCCTTAATAGATATGGGTTAACATGTGATGTGGAGTGAGATTTAGTTTAATTTTTTTCAAGTTCAAGAAGAGTTAAAGTCATGAGAATTAATTAAAAAAATATGTACATGCGGGCTTAAACAGACTAGCCCTGCGAGGGCTCGCCTGTTTAAACCCTAAATTAAACGGGCGCTTAATTTATCATTTTAAGGTTATATTTGTAAGTTCAGCCCTACTTTTATACGGGTTTAAATAAGTTGACCTGATGGGTTTAACCCATTTTCCTGGCTTTATTCTTGATTACCCTCCAACTAGTTTGGCCAGTTTCAATTTTTGATGTGTTAGCTTCCAATCTTACAAAATTATTAGCAAGTGGCAACCAACTTGAATTTTAACCTTCAATTACATTATTTTGAAAACAATTCAGAGTAAAACGGTCATCATTAACATATTTCCAAATACAATTAGCTACACAAATGGGAGCAAGATAACCTTCCATGTCAAACTGCATCTAAGAGTCTAGAGATCCCAACAGATATATGCAAAAAGAGTTGACCATTGTAGCTTATGCGAAATACTTTACCCCAACTCATTCTTTAAATTCCATCGTACCCAATCAGCAACTTCCTTGCTCTTGAACTCTTGCCACTTCTCTGGTTTAATGACTCCTTGCCAAATTTCATCTGCAATGTCACAATCTCTGAGAATATGTAGACCTAATTCTGTGGTGTTGCAGACAAGTGGACAAAGATCTAAATCAGCAATTCCTCTTTTTAGTTCTCAGAGCAGTTGTATGCAGCTTATCCTTCATCATGAGCCATAGAAAGTACTTCATTTTTTCTGGCATTGGCCTCCAAATTAAATGCTCTTCAAATTGGGTCCACCGAAACATTTCTACCTGAATATGCAGATTTTATGGTAAAAGTCCAATAAAATTTATCCTCACCCTCTCTCTCAATTGGAACACGAGAGCTACTAGCGACACAATTAGCAACTTCCGGGTTAAGCCATATCAGCATCTTACGGGTATCCCAGCATCCTTTAGGGGTAACAAAATCACACTCTTTTTGGTTGGTATCAAACTATCAATACTGTGGTTATCAATATTCGCATGTCGAATCAAAGGTTCTTCCATGTCCGACCATCTATCCGGCCAAAACTTAGCTTGCTGTCGAGAGACAATTCTCCTTCCCAATCCCTTAATGAATGTATCCCTCACTTTAGAGATCCCTCTCCAAGTAGCCGAGGCAACATTTTTCTGCTTTACCACCGGGATTTCAGCATTCCCACGTCCATATTTGGATCTCAACACTTTAACCCAAAGGATTCTTTCTTCATAACTCGACTCTCAGTCTCGACTTCGGCCTGTTAGCGCCGCAGACGCAACGTAGTCCTTGGCCCTCAGTCAAAAGTTCTCGCCTCCGCCCTCCGCCCTCCGCCTCCGCTTCTCCGCCGTTGCAGTTTCGGCATTGATCGAGATTGCTCCACCGTCTACGGTGCTGCTCGTTTGCGTTATGCGCGTGTAGTCGTGTTTTTCTGATTCGCTTGGCAGCCGTGGCTCGTGTCCTTCACTTGTTTCTTTACTATGATTCATTCACGGTCTCACTGTCTCTGAGGTTCTTCACCATTTCTTTCCTTGTCAGTTATTTGCTCGTTGATGAAATGTTTTAGAGCTCATATCTATTGTAGGCAAATCTCTTGCAGTTGCTATAATCAAGAAAATTGATTGTTTCTTTTACCTAAACCAAAGCTGGAAAAAAAATTACAGATCATTGGTTGTCTTTTTCATAACGAGTGTTTTCAATGGTTTAGATTTAGAGGTCATAACTGTTCTGCACTTACTCTGCTGTGTGATTGAAATAGATCCTGATGGTACTTTTGGCTTCTTGTTATGGTTGAAATATTTTGCTTGAAGAGGTGTAGCATTTAGAGAGAATCTCGGTACTTGAGAAATTTGGAACTTTCATAATCTCATGCACTTTAGTATCTATGAAAATTGCTGTCCATTCTTATCGTTGATACTTATCTTTGTTACTGTGAACATTTATAGAGGTGAAAGTGGTGGTTGCTTTTGATGCAATGTTGTCTAGACTACCTAGGCGCAAGGAAGATTTTTCTGGGTATAGTTTTGAGGCCTAAAACGTGGTCAAATCTCCAAGCACTAGTTTTTCTATATTTAATCTGCTTGCTCTGGGCTTGAGCAAAGGGTAAGTGTGTCTTCTTTTCTACTTGATATCATTTCTGCCACATCTATGTAATTTTTTTTATCCAGTGCATTCCATTCGCCTTTTATATTAAAGTTCACTTGGATAGAGATTTCCTGATATAAAACAGATGTACATTTGCTTTATTTCTTTTTTTTTATTCTTATGACAGGTTTCAATTCCTGTGTTCAATATCTTGCCTCCAAATTTTGTACTGATTATTGATCAAATGTAAGGTTAAGAAATTTTTGTTCATTTGTTTTGTTTCTTGGTAAAACATGTTAGTCACATATGAAGCCCGAAACCATGAATGGGAACTCCGTCACTATCTGTCTCTGAACATGGCGTTGTTATATTATAACGTTGCTTTCAACAATTTGCTGAAATTATTGTTACTTGTTGTAGGAGGTGGATTCAAGTGATATGCTACTCCAAAGGGAGCTTTGCAAAGTCCGCATACTATGCCCAAATATAAGGAGTAACGTAGTTGATTCAGCTTTATCAGGTAACAGAGGTACTGATTAGATTTCTTTTGTTTTTGGTTTTTGTTATCATGGTATTTGACATTTTTGCATGTATAATTCAAGATTGATTCTACTTATGCTATATTGCAACAGAGTCAGCTTCTTTAAATTTCCACCAAAACATTTCAGCTTATATCTCACAGCCTCATAGGCTCATTTAATTTTCCCTCTTAAAGAATGGCGTTTGAAATTTAAGGGAATAATGGTTCTTGTCTTCTCAGTGATGTATTCATGTACTTCACTTACAGGAGCCACATGAGAGCAAAGAATGATGGCCAAGTATTATCTCCTATACAGAATATTGTAGCTTAGTTTATTTTATTTTATTTTTCTGACAGGAATGTTTATCCTTGTAGCAGATAACCATTTTTTTTTAGTTTCACAATTATATTTGGTCAAGGTTTGTTGTTATTTTTAATCAAGTTATCACATTTCTAATTCTGTAATTTATTTTTATTTAAAATTGTTTGATCATTTTCTATCTCTTGAAGAAGCCTAGAACTTGACCACTGTGTGTGTTTGTTTTAGATGTGTATGTCATAGAGCCAAGGACTTGGACATGTAAGTCATAATGAATCAAACATGTTGATGGAGTCCCTTTGGATGGAGATCTCTAATTAAATTCTCCAAACGGTTTTGACAAATTATTAGCACTACTTACTAGGTCCTGTCAACTATGTTTCAGTCACATGATTTTTTTCAAGTTATCATTGTTTTCTCATACTTGGTTTAGCTCTACTTCAGCTCTTCTTGGATTTGAATCAAGCTCACAGAACCTAATTCCCAAGTACATTTATGCTCATTTGATCCAAAAACCCAAAAAAATGACATTCAAAATAATACTCCCTCCATCCCAAATTATAAGACACTTTTAAGAAAGACTCAGTGTTTCTAAATATAAGACACTTTGATCAAAGTAAGGTTTCATTAATAATACTTTTCCAATATTACCCTTCCCATATATTCTATCTCTTCAATATTCTTTCATTAATGAAATATTAAATGAAATGCGTTTTTGAAAGTTAATATATTTGTCTTCAAAAAGTAAGGTTGTAAAGTGTATTTCATGAACTTTATTGGTATGTGAGATGTTGTTTAAAATGTTTTATAATTTGAGACGGAGAGAGTAATAAGCATTTTATTTCTCAAAATCTAATAAAATAATAGGGATTATTGTTCTCAACTTAAACCTACAAAACTTTAATTGCTCATTTTATTGAACGCTTCTGTTAAATTTATTCTTTTGCTGACTGCTGAAACTGAAATTGCATTCTTTTATGCAGAGTGAAAAATGAATAAGAGGTTCCAAAGTCGTCTTAAAAAAGGTTTATTTTACCTATCCAAGCAAGATCAACTACTGAATTGTTGAAGAAACTTAGAGAAGCATAGCGTGAAAAAATGACGAAAGCACAGGATGATGCAACAGCTAGATATAAAGACGTCCCTCTTGGAATCAACTCAAATCCAAGCATATCTCCGAAGAGGACCTCCTTGGAAAAGAAAGATGTACAGGGGCTTTCTCCTCAGTAATAACTTTTTGCAAAACATGGATTGCATAACTTTCTGTGGTTATAGGCATTTAGAGTTTACTGTATTTTGAGAGCTTATTGCACTATTTTATTAGGAATTTAAGATTGTATTTTGGAAGTTTATTGTATGTTTATTGGATACTTTAAATTTGTTGAATTATATATATATATATATATATATAGTAAATCAAGCCATTGTTTGTTGTTTACTACATATTGTGAGCTCATGTGTTGAACCAACTTATCTAATGATCTTGAGTACGAGTTTTGGAATATGGAATCGTATTAAATAATTATGTCTAAGACATTTTCAAGATACCTGTGAAATTGTTATTGGTAATAACAGTTTAACACAACTAGTGTTCAGATTAGTCTAAGTAGGAGATGGTAATATCTTTGGTTTCTTGGTATATCAAACAATGGAATAAAACAAAAAGCATGAAGAAACGAACAAGGAAGAAAAAGTGAAGTTCTATGATTGCATGCATTGTCATAAATAGATGAATGGTTCCATATTTGTAAGAGATTCTCACTTTTCCCTTGTTTTTTCCTTGAACCGAGATTTATTTGAAATAAAAATATAATTTCTATTTTCAATGGACAAGACATGTGTATGCCATCATTTATCATAAAGAAGATCATTGAAAACTCAAAAAACAATACTACTATATAAGTGAGTAAATTTCAGAATCTCCACTTGTCCAACTGTATTATGTAACAAATTAGTTTTAAGAGAGACCATCAAGTTGATTCTGAGTCATCAAGAGTTAACTGTGGCTCTATCTCTGAGGTGGAATTATTTGACATTCCATTGTGATACTGTTGCATCACCAAAACTGAAGCTGTTGTATGAAAGTCATGAGATGCCAATAAAGCACCAATAGGACCAAGTTCTGGGCATTCACTTTTTTGCAAAGCAAAGGCTACTTCATTATTTGGCCTTGCACCCACGAGAAACAGATTGCAACAATTAAACTCATGTATAGCAATAATTGTTTCTGCACTATTTTTAACTACTTTCTCTGTGTAGTTGATTGAGTCATCATTGGCTTCTTTCTTCTTTAAGTCATTCAGGAATTCCTCATCTTCTGGGACTACTTTGGTGCCAGAGTTGTCCACATCAACTCTAACAATCTCTCCTTCAAGGTTTGGATCCAAAACAAAACGCACAACGACTAATCTTATGCCAGGGTGCTCGGCGATACGAAGTCCGTATGCAAGGGCTTCACGATCATCTTCACCTCCAAAGAAAAGTACGGTGACACAGTAAGAGACATTACTTGCGGATACATGGTAAGCACCGCCAAGCCCACGATCAACAAAAATTCCAACTGAGCAGGGAGCGTGGTCCAATACTCTTTTGTTAACCCATCTGAAATCATTGCGCGTGGTCTCCAGTGAACCACCCAATCTTTGATGTTTATGGAATGGGAGAATAATGACCGCGACTCTCTTTCTCTCAGCTGTCGTGCAAATATCTTCGTGCATGTCAGCCATGGATGATATCGCTATCATTGGCCGGACAGACACTTGGCTTAGCTGCTGGTATGCCTCAAATGCCACAATAACATGATCAGAATCAGCATGGCGGCGCTTGTTCCAGAAGGGCAACCCATTTTTTCTTGCCTTGTGTACCATTAATATGGTTGATGACCTTTCAGAAAATTCTTTAAGGTGCATTGCATATACACAAAGTGCATCACGTTTCTGGATTCCTCTTGAAGATTCAATCAGATTTATCACTGATGGAATACTTCTCGCACTATGGAAACATGAAAGAACCCTAAGCTGGCTGTTAGGATTTTTCCTTTCAATTGTTCTGTACTTGTAATCAGCAATTTTTGCCTTTCTTGCTGGCTTATACAAAGAAATGACAATAGGGGTTGTGATGAAGGTAGTAAAGAGTGCCATAAGAACCATAATGGCAAAGGTCTGATCATTCAAGACCTGCAAATGCAAATCATAACTATCCATCAGAATAATTGATAGGAAGGTGAACTGCATTAAACACAATACTGATAGCGAGAAAAAACAAAAATTAAAATACCTTCCTATCTTTGCCAATGTTGAGGACAATTAATTCGACCAAGCCTTTACTATTCATTAAGAATCCCATCACCAAAGCTTCATTCAATGGTACCTTACAGAAACGAGACACTACAATAGTGCCAACAATCTTCCCAAAACAAGCAGTAAATATCACTAAAACTAGAAGACCCCATGATTGCAGCCCCTGAATAGTGGCTATGTTAGTCTTCAATCCACTTGACACAAAGTACAATGGGAGAAAAAGACTTGATAGTAGATCCTCTACTTTCTCCACAAGAGCACCGGCGAATGGTCCATCTTTTGGAATCAAAACTCCAACAACAAAAGCACCAAACATGGCATGAATTCCAATGGCATCTGTAGCAAACCCTGCAGCCAGAACGACAACTAGTGTAGCACATATGTATGTCTCTTCGATTGGTTCACCCTCAGGGCATCGTTTGGCCATCCATCTGAAGAGACGAGGGACAGTGATGCTTGAACAAGTAACAAAACCAAACCCACATAAGAAGACCCATACTGGCACAAGTGAAGATTGACTCTTGCCAGATAGTGCAATAGCCAGAGCAAGCAAAATCCATGCAGCTACATCATTAACTGCAGCAGCCGACATAGCCATTCTTCCAACGTTGGTGGTTAGGAGTTTCAACTCAGCCAGAATACGAGCTAATACAGGAAAAGCAGTGATGGAGAGGGCCACACCCATAAATACAAGAAATGCCGTACTATCCACATCTTTAGCAATTGTTTCTCGGAGAACATATGATGTACCAATTCCTAATGCAAAAGGGAGGCATATTCCAGCAACAGCAATGGCAAGGGCCTGCTTTCCTGTTTCATGCAGAGATTTAGGATCTAACTCTAGCCCTGCTAGGAAAAGAAAAAATATAAGCCCGATATTTGCTAGAGTATCTAATACTGTCAGACTTGTGGGTGGGAAAACTGCATGCAAATAGCTTTTACTCCGTCCCAAGGCTGATGGTCCGAGTAATATTCCTCCCTGTCAATGAGTAGTCTCACTAGTTTTAGAATCACGCATATCAAATGTCTGTTCTATTTTCCAATTCAAGTTCTCATCTAATCAAATTTGGAGAATGCAAATCGTGCAATCACAAAATCTCTCATGGGAGCTCATGTTTGGAGAAGTATTGTGCCCTATTATCTATAACAAATTTACAAACTACGTTGGAGTTATGTGGGCATTTTACATCTGACATAAAAAACAAGACCCTTAAAATGGTAATACTAGTGGCACTTCAGAAGTTTTATAAAATGAAACCCAAGATGCTCTTTTCACCTAAACATCTATTTTACATCAAAGTAGAAGATGGCTTATGAGAATTGAATTATTAAAATATTCAAAGAAAAATGAAATTACCACAATCTCAGCAATCACGCGTGGCTGCCTTAAAGGCTTTAAAAGATATGCCAGTCCCCTTGTGACTAGAACGACAAGACATATCTGCAAAATAGCCAGAGAAAGTGCATAATCAAGAGGATTATCTCCTTGAAATCCACCATTTGAAGTGGATTTCATTGGTAGCGGGCAAGAACTTCCATTTGTGCTGTTGTAAGTCATTTCCCTTGCACAGAGTACACAGCTAACAGCAAATTCGCCTAAATTTCTGAAGAGAAAGGCATCTAGCAAGTCACTACATTTTTTTGGGAAAAAAATAAATAAATAACTTGAGCAAGAGCAAGAGATACAGATACAAAGAACTCATGAGCAACATATTGCAGATCATGATAACAGCTCCCCATTTCCGAGCAATGAACCTATCTGACATATGCACACACATGCATAGAACAAAGTCACAATACAACTAGCATAAATGGCTAAATATCCTGCAACAGCGGTGAAACAATTATAAATCAAGATTTTGAGTCTTTGACATATAAAATTAACTCTTACAAAACCATGCTAGCTAGTAATGAACCTGTTGTGATCCAAACATTTGAACGAGAACAATATAGCGCTCGAAATTTTCGCAGTCAAGGAACTTGCGAGAGGACGGAAAATGTATCAGAAGGAATTATTATTCATATACTGACGCAACGTGAATTTAAAAATAAAGAAAAGGAAAAGAAATCGTTTTAAAAAAATAAGCAAAGAAAGCTAACCGCATATACATTACCTACCCGAGAGCGCTAAGAAGAAAACGGATCGGCTTCAATTGACTTGAACTCCTGATGATGGTGTGAAAGCAAATAAACAAGAAGATTGCAGAGGAAAGAATGGAATAGCACACCAATTTCGGCACTTCACTGATGAGCGTCAAGTCGTGCGTGTGCATTGTGCAATCTACACACATAAATGCAAGTCCACCGAATGACGCGCACCGTGAAGTCGGATATGTTAAGGGAAAAAAAAACAAAAGAAAACTGTATTTGAATAAGATAAGGAGATAGTCATGCATAATAATAAGGAGGAAAAAAAGGTAAGCCTTAATGTATTTGGATTGGATGAAAATGTATAGGAAATGTATTTTAAGATTTTAATTAATTGAATGAATCTCTTTCTTTTGAAAGATTAATTGAATTTTGGGAGGAAAAAAGGAAAGATTAATTGAATGAATTTTTAATCTAAGTATTGGGCAGATTGTAAATCATATTGTTATTGTTAATTATTCTGTAAATAAATGAAGAAATACTTAGATAAATCAGATGCATCACATTATTTGTGGTCTGCTCAATAAAAATATAACATTTAATTTAAATAGCATTAAATATAAGTCGATTATAATATTAATGATACTAGAGAGAGAAATTAAATATGCATTCTATTATAAAAATAAAATCAACTTTAAAAATGTCACACAAAATTTTATTTAGATTATTTAAAACATTTTTAATTGAACAGATCACACATGACGTGATACACTCAATCTACTTAAGTATTTTCAAATAAATGAGATTATTGATAATTGATAATATAAGATTTTATTTAAATTTTGGCATAAAAATAATCTGAATCGTCAACTTTGAAAAATAAAAACATAATTACAATTAAAGTTGAAATTGAAATAATTTTAAACATATAGGAGAGCTTCTAGAAAACTGTAACCATGCAAATCTCTTATTAAAGTCGTATGTATATATATATATATATCATTTCTGGTTTATAAATGATGGAGTAATATTTCCTATGTCATATCAAAAATTTAATAAAATAATATTTTAAAATTATAAATGACCTATATTCATGGACTTCTTTTATTTTTTTTGAAAAAGATAAATAAATCTTATTTAAATAGACAAATGACAAAAGAGAACTACAAAATGAGGTGATCATTTTGAAATCTTTGGAGATTTATTTTATATTAACTTTTTAATTTTTTTTCATGAAATGATCATAATATCTTCAAAGGCGAATGACAATTGCATAGTAGCAATGATTACTTTTATAAAGAGACCTTGAGTGACTAAAATAATATAGAACATGATTACTTCTATTTTTCAATTTCATTTTATAAGTGTTAAATCCTCAAGGTAAATGATAATTTTAGAATAGTAAATGATGTGCTGCTTCTTTCATGCGGGTGAGCTGTAAAATGGTATGTGAAATGACAACTCTCATCTCTCAGTTTCATTGCATTAGTGTGGAATCATGAAGGAAGGTAAACGACAATTTATAAATTGCAGATGTGATCACCTTTATTAGGCTTGTGACTAAAATAATGTAAAACATAACTAATTTCATTTTTCAATTTCATTTATTAAGTGTTAAGAAATTGAAGTAATCATTTCTATACAACTTTAGTCATTCGGTTAATGAAAATAGTCATTTATTACTCTAAAGTTGTCATTTATCTTTGGGGCATTTATGATCATACTGTGAAAAAAATATTATTATTGTCATATAAGTCCCAAGAGATTTTAAAATAATTACTTCATTTTTTGATCCTATTTTATTATCTACTTATTTAAATGAGATTTATTTACCATTTTTCCCGCTTTTTTCCTTTGCCCACACCATTTTGATTTTTTTACTGAAGAATCAATATAATAATAAAATAAAAGAAAAAGTCAAATTCTTATAAAGAGTTCAACATTGATGAAACTTCCCAAACACATAATTAAAGATGGCCCACAGTACCACATTCATGGACTCGGTACAATGTACATGGCCCACATTTAATGTACAAAAACCAAAGAATGGACTTGAAGCATACTTCTCTGGTATTATTATATGATAGATTAAAACAGACTAATTTTAATTTTATTTATATATAATATATTATTATTTTTTATTTATCTTTACTTTTATACCCTTATTAAATATTAAAATATTAAAAAAATTTTTTTGTCCTAATTATTAGGGGTAGAAGTGCAAATTTATTAAAATTTAAGACAGAGTTAATAAAATTTAATATTTTTCTTAATTTTGATAAACTATGCTATAAGTGACTTATAAAAATGACAGAAAGAGTATGATTAATATATAATGCTTCACCTATCTTAATTTACAAGACATTTTTAAAAAAAAATTAACATTTTAAAATATAAAACACTTTTATAAAAATAAAGTTTTATTAATGATAATTTTTTCATATTATTCATTCCATTATGTTATCCCTTTTTAATATTTTTTTTACAAATGAAGTATTAAATGAAGGGCATATTTAAAAGTTTATATTTTTAATTTTTTAAAAAATAAGGTTGTAAAATATATTTAATAATTTTTATTGATATGTATGATTTTATTTAAAAGTATATTATAAATTGGGACCGAGGTAATACACATTTGCTTTAGGTATAGTAAATACGTATAAAGAATGATATTGATGTAAGCAAGTATTTGTATTAATACATATCATTCTACACAATGAAATAAAATCGCAATTATTATTCTTTATACATCTTTATTATTCAGTTATATATATTCACGCATCTTAAAATTGCAATTAATTCAATTTCATATTTTATAGATTGGCCAAAAAAATTCAAATTTTACAACTTTTAAAGAAAAAATAAAGGTACTCATATCCGATGCATATCCAGTATCATACATGTACTTCTCATGATACGTATTGTATATTCTAACAATCATGTTATGAGTTTTTTCTACGAAATATTTCTATATTATTTAAAAATCTAAAAAAATTATTATTTTGATTAATTGTATAAATATCTTTCATTCATTTCTTTTTTTATATCTCCTTCATCTATATAAAACAAAAAACAGGACAGAAATTTCTAACTATCATATTATAGTGATTGTATTTTTATTTTCATTTATCTTCCAATTTGGACTTTGAAATACAACCATCTCAATTTACTATTTAATAATTTTCTTATCAAAATTGCATTACTGTTTTTAACATGTCTTCATCTCTTATAGGCTATAGCGTGATTTATCAACTAAATTAAAAATTGATTTGAACAAATAATAATTTAAAAAAAAACCTTTTAGTGAGATATTGATTTGAACAAAATTGTAGATGAAAAATTTAAAATTCAATTCAAATAGTAAAAGAAGTAGAAAAAACTCAAAAAATGAATATAATAATAATAATAACAATAATAATAATAAAGAAAAATACACCAACAAAGATTGATCCCACTGTCAAAGTGAAAACCTTGTTAGTAAATGATATGTAACTCTATAAATACTCCTTGAACAATAAAAGAGATGTTGGAACCTGAATGCAAACTATACTCATGTATCCTCTCCCTTGAGTTATTTCCTTATTAATTTTTCAATCTAGATTGGATCTTCCGCATTAGTCGTGCATATACAAGGAAGCTTTTATTTTGATAGTATCGGCTTTTAGGTATTCATCAATATATATTATCTTTCCTTTTAATTATATATACTAAATTACTATTTTTTCTATATTCACATATTCATACAATAACATAAAGACTAAGACGCAGTTCCACTCTTTAAAATGTTCATTGGAAAAAATATATGTTACACTCCAACAATCACACGAAACCATCCTTTTATGTTATTCTCTCCTATTTTGCTAAATGGTCAATATTTTCTCATAAGCACAAGTTTGTTCTAAGAGAGAACTCATAATAAAAGACTAGTTAGCTTAACTAGCATGTTAGATGAAAAAATTCTTAAATTTATAAATCTATTTCACATGTAACGTTTCTTGTTATGGGACTTATTACTCGTAGGTGAAGTTTAAAAGTTAAAGAGCTTTCCTATCTAACAAGTTAACATTTTTGGATAGGCATACACATTGGCAAGGCTTACAAAAAAGTGAAGTTTAAAGTGACCCCCTCTGTTAATATACTAATCCTTCGAATTGGAATCTCTTTTTTGGACTTGTGCCATGACATGTTTACAATTGCAAAGTAGGAGATTCAGACGAATGTATTCAATCCTTCTTTTTTTGTTTTTCGAATGTACATTTTTTGTGCGAATCCGATAAACTATTAAGACAAACTTTATAACCATAAAGAAAAAGTGAAAACCTAACAAAAAATTGAATAAAAAAGAAACAAGGTGCTGAATGATTGAGGAAAGCAAAGGGCCTTGAGCTCTATACATAAAACAAATCCATCTAATGAACACTTGGAACTTTGCAAAATTTGTGAACCACTCAATGTGATAGAATTAGTGTATTGCAAAATGAATATTTCTTCATATTGGGTAAATATTTAAATTTTAAGTCATCATGATGTTGGTTACTTTCAACCAAGAAATAAAAAATTTCAAGTTTGGAGATGTATGTTGCTTGTATTTGGATGTTAAAAAAGCGTCAAGTAATGGAGATAATGTTATTTTAGGGTACTTATTAATGTTATGTGGGTCTCTCAAATCTGTTGCGCTTAAGTAACACAATATATATATATATATATATATATCACATTAAGAGAATAAAATGAAAGTATAGACGTATGTTGAAGTCATCAGCAAAGTCTTAATTGAAAGCAGTGTTTTGGCTTTAAATTTTATTGGAACACTACAAAAAATATTGATATGATAGTGGTTCAATGGTCATGGTTCTAGAAAAATGCTGCCTTTCTACGCTCTTGGCACATTTTTTCATCAAACCATTACTAAGTGGCAACAATTTGACCTGTGTTAGATGGCACCAATAATTGTATGCAAAGCCCGTTTGGTTGCTAAAAATAATGGGAATGAAATGTAATAAAGAAACAAAACCAAAAATGAACCAAATCACTCTTCCCGTCATGAAAAGCATATGATAAAATTCAATACCACATGCTACAATTGTGATAGTCATCACAATCTCTACCAAATTTCATAAATCATAACCCCTAATCTTATATTACTATAAAAATTACCTTTTGGAGCGTATATTTTAAAACTTTATAACAAAAGTGCTATGAAATAGGGAGGT